GATGCCAAGATTTATGTTAGAAGGTCCACGACCCTGCACAATCTTTTGTTTTGCGTTCATACGTTATGCATGAATTACGTAACCAGCACGTTTCTATTGGTTAGTTCCTCAGTACGGAGTAAACAACTATTGTGTTTTGTGCAGGGTCAAGGCCAAAAAAGAGAACAAAAACATACAACAAAGAACTTTGTCGGGTTTCATAACCATTCCCTCTATTAACTATGTTTAAGATCAATATTCAGTTTTGAAAGCCAAGTACCGCATGTACCTGAATATTCGCATGCACACCATTGACAAAATCGTAAATCAAAGGGTGCTTTCAGCTATGATGGTAAAATTAGGGTAGTTAGAAGTTTTGAAGAGACAGTGAGAAGATCAAAGACAATTACGTATTAAAAACTGATCATCAGAAGGAGAGAACGCTGCAGGAAAGAAATGGAAAGAGATCAAGCAATATTTCCTCTTCCACTTCCACTTCCACCGCTTTTTTGCTGACGTTTATTTTGTTTGAGAATGTACTTAGGCTGCTGGTATTAAACCGCTCTGAAAGGGAAATTCTCTGGGTGTTACAATGAGTCTAGAAATATAAGTTGTTATTCAGGGCCCGTGCAGCAGTTTTTTAATTGCGGGGGACGCTGGATTCAAGTGCGTAGGAAAACCCCGGAGGGGTAATGTCTGAGGAAGTCTTCTATGCCAGTTCATCGCAAATAGATGTAACAGTTTTAAGAAGACTACGATTATTACCAGATTCCTTCTAGCAAAGACCCAATTTATATCAATGTCGAAAAGCTAAATGCAGTGTGTTTTCCACTTTTCAAGGAACAGTCGCTCTCAGTTTCCGGGTTCTCAGCCCTCCGATTCACTTCAGGAAGTTTTACATGGTTTTCTGGTTTGCGCACAGGCGCGGGATTTTGTAGGATTTAAACTAGAAAGACGCACAGTGCTAAACCTTACATTTCATTTAAACTATCTCAACTATCCACCCTGTTATTCCCTTATTGTGGACAAGAGTGAAATCCAGATCCTAAGTCTAATATCAAAAAACCTTTTCTAGAGACTATTTAGTGAAGAACTTGAAAATGAAATATACATTGAAAGTTACAACCACGTGTCACAGTGATGTCCTCATCGACTATAATAGTAGTCAATAGTTGATGGAACTGGGTTAGGTCTTGAAAATTTATTGCTACTCAGAGTTTCATGCTTCTGGCTCTTTGCTTTGTTTTACTTTGTATTTGAGGGTAATTTTTCAAGTACAAGCCCCCGGGGGGCTTATATTTGGAGGGTCGATTTAACGGAGGGTTTTTTGCGTTACGGATTTGGGGGGCGTATTTTTGGAGGGGCTTATACATGGAGGGGCTTATTTTCGGAATTTTACGGTATTCGAATGCTTTGAAAAAAGGAAAGGGGAAGACGGCAAAAAGTAAATACTCTAGGACTTAATTAATTAACAACTTATTAGCCATATGTGGTTAGGAATTTTTTGTTGTTTGTAATTTTACTTATTTGAAAATAGTTGATATACTATTTATTGTATAAGACTCCAAATAAATAAAACATGCATGCAAGCAAGCGCGTCCATTCAACCAACAGACGGAGGTAGAGTGCATTGCCTTTTAGCACAAACTAACCATCAAAAGTCAGATCACCTTAGGGTCAGTACAATACGCTATTGACATTTAAAGCTTACGTATTTTCAAAGTGCGTCAAAATTTTGTATCGTATTCTGTTTTGTCGGCCGCCTCCTGATATCCATCAGCAAGAAATCACTGATTTATGACACTAATGGTGCGTAACCCGTGAAGAGAAAAAAAAGACGGTATAGCGTGAGTCAATAACACCAAACTGCTAACCATTTATTGCTTTTTGGAGTAACCTGACCACAACTACCAGAATCACTTCCTGTTTTTTTCTTATTCACCTATAATAATCCCAATACCGTTTGCAATAGCTTTGAAGCAAATAAAGGATACTAGTAGATAAGCATGACGTTATCGTGTAAATGGCCTATGGGTAAGAGTTTTAAAAGGCCGGCGTCGAGCCCAAGGAAAACATCACTCGGCAAAATTAAAGAACATAATATAAATAAATGGATCAATAAAAGATGAAGTAGTAATGATAAAAAAACTCTGATTATGTCATTTTTATTAATTAAGAATTTGTTTATGCTTAGCGAGCAAATATTGAGTTAGTCATGCGGGAGTTAACACGCGGAAGTTGGAGCGTTAGAGGTAAAGGGAAACTTTACCATCTTGAAGTGCTCAGCAAACTTTCGAAGTAATCTAGCGATCTGTGGTCAATTTTATCGATTGTTTCGTATAAATTTTATCTTCCAGAGTTTTACACTTAGCACCCACTCATTACCACGCCCATAGTGCAACAGGAAGATAAAAATAATATAAACCAAGGGGAAATTTGAACATGATAACACTCATGATAACTCGATATGCGCATGATATACGCGTTCACGAACCAATTATTTTATAATTAAAACACAGTGACCATGGTGAGTTAAACTTCGTGTTTACCCTGCAGGGGCGGATCCAGGATTTTTTTTAGGAGGGGGTACACTCGTCTCTTCCAATAAACCACATAGTTTTTTTTGCAGAATACCAGTTGTATTAGAAAACCGCAGGTCATCTCAGGGGGGGGGGGGGGGGGCAGGGGGGGGGGGGGGGGGTGCGCACCCCCTGCACCCTCCCCCTAGATCCGCCCCTGCCCTGTATGAATCGACAACGACTTAAATGACACTTTTGTGCAGAATTATATGTTATGATGTCATTTGTGAGTCTTCATAGCATCCATCACGCCAAGGCCGAACGGAATCGGCGATAATCATCGTAATAAGGAAATCAAGATTTTTGAAAGTGTTCAAATCTTAGAGTAAAAGAAATTCATCCTGATTGATGATCTCTTCGAAGCTGATACAAACAGCTAAAAGGTTGCCATCAAGTCTTGTAAAAACTGAGACAAAAGTCTTTATAAAAGTGATCCTGAGCAACAAAACAAAAACAAACCAAAACAATTTGGCAGCCGCGTCTGCTACGCGGCTTAAAGGGACAGGTTCACGGTTCGGCGCAAGCTCACTTATCGAAAAGCTGTTTTTCTGCCGGGACATGCTGTATCGTCTATGCAAATTCAAGCAATATGATCATGTCATAATGTTGTCAAAGAACCAATCTGCACTCTCCCCTAGCTGGCAGTCACTTGCACTTGATCAACTTAAATCTTTGCAAATAGCTGTAAATTAGTCAACCATGGAATAAAACCTTCGGGTCAACAATAAATTCAACGTTGGTAGTGTTGACATAATCCACTGACTTTTCTGGAATTTTAGCACTCCTCCATCCTACTTCCGGTTACTCTGAAATACACTTCTACTTTGAAATACACTCTGAGATCGCTGATATACATGTGAGTGGGATTATTAATCGATAGAATTAATAATAAATTGGAAAAACGTAATTTAAATAATTAGCATGTGCTTAACCGTGAACATGTCCCTTAAAATTTCTAACTTCGCGCTAAATGGAGCGGCCCTTTCCGTCTCTTCCTAACCGCCCCAGCGGTTGCTCGCCGTCAGCGTTAGATCCTATCGACCTAAACCTCTTAGACACCATATGAAGTTCACACAACGTAGTGTTCGTTATGCTTGGTTTTCACTAGCGCATAAGCATAAGCATAAGGGCATACGCACGCGCAGAATGGTAAATTTGATTCAATTCTTGAAACCAGCTCTCTTCAACCCGATGAGAAACAAGATGGCGCACGAAGCGTCCGCCATATTGCTTTTGATATGTTTGCATGAGGTCTGGGTCAAAGTGACCGATGAATGGTCCACGGACTTGTGGTTATGCCTGTGCATATGTCAACCCCACTGTTTTCACTAGTCAAAGCTACGACACAAGCACAAGCATAAGCATAAGCACAAGAAGAACGAACATGCCCGTTTTTCTTGGCCTTATGCTCATACTTATGTCGACCCAGTTTTCACTTGCTTACTCATGTGCTTGTGCTTATGCTTGTGCGCTAGTGAAACCAGGCTTAAGTTTCTTGACATTTCTGCTCAGGAAATGTTCATGAAAGTGTAAGTCTGTTCAATTTTTAACGGAAAAAAAAATTCAGAGGATCCAGAGTAAGAATTGAACCCGGAACGTTGTGTCTGTAGTCCATCACCTATACCAGGGGTCCGGGCTTAACGAGACACTCTTTACTGATAAGAAGACAGATTTGCAACGTTGCTAAATATACCGGCCAATAACTCCTCGGCATGTTAAGTACAACACGTATAAGCACAACTGCGGCAATTACAATAGCATAATTTTGCTATTATGAGTTTTTTATTTTTTTATTTTTTCATCATAGGGTTATTTCCAATGTAATGACTTCTTTACAATTGAAATAAAAAGTGCCTTTTACTCTGGCTCCAAAATTGGCGCATTCATTACTATAATCATTGCATTAACCTTTAATATGATAGAACAGTGAAGAGATAATAGTTTATGTTTGGTCAAAAGAACACTGCACATTCGCAGCACACTCTTATCTCCTGTGAGTAAACCATCCAAGTTGAATCAATCTTCTTTATGAAAGACTGAGTCACGGTAGGGTTTTGGCACAGACCTAGCACTGTGCTTCCATCGCCACAGAACAACTGTTTTGTATCGCATAACACTTCGTTAATATAGCGGGGTAAAGTTTCAGGTCCCAGATCAGTTACGGCAGGGCAGACATTACAAAGCCTCGTCTCCCCCCCAATGGTAGATTCGCAAGGGCCTGAAAGCGTTGTTACGGGAAATGAGGAACCCCTCTTAAATATATTTTTTCTTGACTGCACGGGAACTTGTGGTTTCCAAGTGATGTTGTAGGTTTTAATTCTTCTCATATGCCGGCGGTAAGACACCAGATTAGGAAATTTACGCGCTTCTGCTGGAGTAAAGGCCATATATGCAGAGTTGAAGTAACCCAGTGGTCCTGGTTTTAACCCCAAACGTCTGAGGCAATCTCGAAACTCTGTTCCATTGCGAGGAACGTTCTCTATCAAAGATATGTCGTCTTTAGTTTGTTCGTGGTGGTGAAAATCATCTCCCTTCCATGGAAAAGCGCCACAGAAAACAAGCAAAGCAGCAGCCAAGCACAAAATTCGAAAAGCCATCTTTGACCTGATGTTATAAAGATGATATATATATCGGTGGTCAAATTTCGCGTCAGATAAAATGGGTGTCGCCCGTTTCAAATAGTCACCTTTATGAGCAAATTGAAAATCATTAATAACATCATAATTGCATGGAATTTGGTTGGCCAACTCAAAGCACAATAGTTTTTGGGAGACTTGCATAGTATACCTCTAAACCTGCGTTGATATATCGGTAGGAAGCAGAAAAATTAAAACTTGCATGTTGGATTCATAATTGGATCAAAAAGCTCACATTCTGTTCTGAGCCATTCAATTAAGGGCTAGTGCACGAATAATATTACTGGACAGTGGCCGATTTATGACATCAAATCAGTTGAAAAAATCCAAAATCGCTGTTTCAATCCGCTTTGCTTCGCGTGTTAATAAACGTAAACTGCAAAAAAATAGGGCTGAGTTCATTTTGACAAGGATCCGTGAAGAGCTCAGCGGAACTTTTTAAAGTCTTTTACTACTGTTAACAAACTGAACCGAAGTAGTTATTGCTGTGAGTGATTATATCTCTTCTGCGTTTTTTTCCGAACTAACCCGACAGGTTTTACTTAGGCATACCTCCTGTTTTGGCAGAAACCTATGCCTCGAGTTTGTCAGGAACTTATAGGATAATTATTATGGCATCCCTATAGTACTTTTTGGAAAAAAAGTAAAAAAGAAATTTATATCAAGCATTTTTAGCGAGACTAACATGATGTGGACGAACGCGAAATATGAGAGTTCTGCCTAAGCGCACTCCTTCGCTGTAGAGGTCCATGATCAAAGGTTGACTTGAAACTATCCTCTAGGAATCATCTAATCAGTTCCTTGTATGTAGCACTGAAAAATGCACACGTTAAATCTACAGAATAATGCATATTAAAATAAAAGCATGTTTTTTTGATTACTTTTACCTTGCTATCCTTCAGCCTCGCTTAATTTTCTCTGACTTTTTCTTAATACTAGTCTTCCTCTTCTCAAGAACACTGAAAAGTTGGACTCAGCTCTAGAAGCAATATCAGTGTTTGGTTCCTCCAATGTCATTCATGATACTAGTAATGACCCTTTGCAGTGTAATTCCTGACATCTTAAAGCGGAAAATATTCTTTGCCTTGAAGGATTTTAAAGGACCTGTCATAACTTTAGTATCCACCAATTGTTTTTCTGTCTCGTATGTTCTAACAGCAGATATCAACAATGCTTAGGACTCATTACCAGGGGCTCTATTTCGCATTTGTTGAATTCGCACAATATACTTGAAGTAGAAAGTCGGAAAGGCCCAAGAGTTATTTGTGTATGAAGCTGTTAATTGGTATGCAAGTTGTCTAGAATACTAAGTCATATTATTGTTAAAATGTTTTAGCTTAACACCGCTTTTAGCCAGCGTCATTCATGGTACTGCAAAAGACTTCCAGCTTCTTCAGATGTCTAAAACACTTCCGATCATTCTTGCAGTTCGTCCCCCGGGGTACTCCCTTATGTAAGCAACATAGGTATGTTCCGCCGCAAACATGCCAAAGGGTATGGTTTTTTGCGCCGTTTCGGTTGGAAACCGGGTGTAGACTTTTAGTCTAGAATCGAGAATGGTTTTCTTGAGTTTTTGAAGAAACTACAGGGTGTATGAACTTATTTGTCGTTTCAATTCCAAATGAATAAAAAAGAAAGAGTAATATGCCAATGAATTCGAAATGCATTTTAAGAGGTCTTTTTGTTGGCCTTCTAATATTAGTAATGATGACATGAAAACGGGTATGGATTTTAGAGGCCAGGTCTGAAAACGGATGTGGAAAATTACAATGTTTGGTCTGAAAGAGAGTCAGGATTTGGAGAACTGGGCGGCACACCGCCACCAAGAATTTCCAGGAGTACCCCCCCCCCCCCCCCCCCCCCCCATGGGAAGGAAAGAAATTAGGGTAGAAAAGATATACTACCTCTACAGAAAGCTTGTTTACTTGGGAACTACCCGGGGAGGGGGGGGGGGGGGTTCCCTTGGAAATTTTTGGTGGGGGGGTGCCGCCCGGTTCTCCAAATCCTGACTCTTTTTCAGACCAAACATTGAATTTTTCCAAACCCGTTTTCAGCCCTGGCCTCAAAAATCATATCCCCTTTCCATTCTATCTTACCTAATATTAAAAGGCCCAGGAAGAAAAACGTGTGGTAAAATTAAAAATTTTTGGCGAAAAAAAGGGCAGAGATTTGGAAACCGGCGGGCCACCCCCCCCCAAAAATTCCCAGGGTGCCCCCCCCCCCCCCTCCCCGGGTAGTTCCCAAGTAAACAAGCTTTCTGTAGAGGTAGTATATCTTTTCTACCCTAATTTCTTTCCTTCCCAAATCAACATCATTTCCCCCCAAAAAACACTGTAATGCCCCCTAAATCCCCCTCATATTCCTCTACATGACAGTTACCTCAAAAGTAACATTCCAAACTAGAGAGACGTATATCTGTGCAAGTTGAAAAGCGATTTTCGAAAAGTTGTTGTAACAATGTACAAAACTAAAAATAAAAACAGGCAAAAATGGCCGCCCGAGACTTTGCTACCACTACCCCATCATTGGGAGAAGGTTTGTTTTCCTCTCCTTTGGAAGGTTCTTTGGTGTTCTTCGAGGCAGAGCTTCGTTTCGGTGTAAAAGTCATTTCGCCTCTTACGCAGCCTCAGAATAGGCAAGATGGGCCAAATACGCCTGATTACTATCGAGCCCATTGCCTCTTATTACTACTTTTGTTCTATGAGTGAATTTGGGTCTCCTTAAGAGGGTAGTACGGTAAAAAGCATTTGTTTTTCGTTGATTTCCACCTTTTTTCTTAAATATCTAGCCAAGATTTTATTCAATCAAAAAATGACTCAATTAAGTTGGAGTTGTTGGAGTTCTTCTTTTTCCTTATTTAAGTGTCTGTTGTAGTTTTTGGTTGACTAGCTCGAATGGTTCGTATGTTCCCTTCTAGTCCTTCCCCACTGCAATAATTTTTTTTTCTAGTATGTAGTTAATTGTTCTGTTATGTAATTTAACTAAGTTTTCTTTATATATATATATATGTAAAAATAAATGTATATGTTCTATGTGTGATACCTATGTTTCAACTAATGCAGTGAAAATGGAATAAATTGAAAAATTAAATTAAATTAATGTTTTGAATGTATAGAGGTAGTGGGGTGATTGTTTAAAACTTTGGAAAAATGGGAAATAATTGGATTTGGGGGTCGTTAAAAATAAAAAAAATATATGACGTCAGTAATTAAAAGACAAATACCATTAATGTGTACAGTCAACGCTCTCTAGGACGGACACCTTTGGGACCGGCACTAAGTGTCCGTCTTATAGAGAGTCAAATGGAGGGACCAAAGAAAGGCAGGGACCAACTCTAGGTATCCGTTTTACAGAGGTGTCCGTCTTATAGAGGTGTCCGTCTTATAGAGAGTCAAATGGAGGGACCAAAGAAAGGCAGGGACCAACTCTAGGTATCCGTTTTACAGAGGTGTCCGTCTTATAGAGGTGTCCGTTAAGAGAGAGTCGACTGTATACCTTTTCTGCCCTAATTTATTTCCTTCCAAAATCAAAATCATTTCCCCCAAAACAACCGTAATGCCCCCTTAAAGATTAAGCGTGTATTCGAAGTAAAGTTTTCAAAAAGAAAAAACATTATTGGGCTGCGCTGTTAATTTTAGAAAAGAGAGAGGCGCAGATGGCCAAATCGGGGATTAAGTTCGGGCAAGAATGTTTTTCGAAGCCAGCTGCTACTGTAATCGTGTGTAAGAACACTCGATGCAGGAATATTTGAAGATGATTTTTTCATTCCTAGAATCACTGAGCCCTGCAAAAGTCATGTCGTCCAAAGCTCCCCTAAAGTTAAGGGTGCATGAGTATAGATTCTGGGCTTTCAAGTTTATTGTTTGTAGTAAACTTCCCTGCTAGCAGAGGTCTCTCAAGGCGAGGCATTTTTTTTTTTTTTTTGCCTCGCCGTGAGAGACCTCTGCTAGCAGGGAAGTAGTAAACTACAAAATTAATGTATTAACGAGTCGGGAGCTCCACTTTTAGCTTAAGCTAAATCTGTATGAAAGAGTAGCTGAAAATTATTATTATTATTATTGTTATTATTATTATTATTATCATTTATTATCTATGTAATAACCCTTGGCGTCTATTTGCACAAACAAAGCAACTTTTTTCTAAGTTGTGTCCAAACATTCAAACTGAACCCTTAAGTTTAAGTTTATTAATATTTTGTCATGCCAATACGAAGAATTAATACAGAAAAGTACAAAAAGTGTATGACTGAAGCGGGGGAAACTAAATTCCCATACAAAGAATATTCAGTCCAATATTAAACATAGTAAAAATTAATTTATACACGGTCCAAAGCTAACTTAACTAAATTGCATACAGGTCACTCACAAGTTACATCTGATTTCACCTGATTTCCATTTTCGGAGGAAACGAGATTTCCTCAAAAGCGTTCGAAAATTTTTTTCCTTAGATCAGTTTTTATTAAAGTATATAAAATGAGTATCTTTAAAACTGTAAGCATGATGCCTTAAACTACAACCTGCTGCGGTTTTTCCTAAAGTGCAAAAGGTTTTGGACGGGCAAATACTCAGAATTCCGGCATTTTTTAAACTTCAAGGAAACACATCCAAGGAGTATAAACAATCGGGCCATTGCTATATCCACTTCAGGGGCACCCAAAGTCTTTTTCCGGTTAATATAACTGTACCAAGGAGCAAATCCAAAACAGATAAATTCTTTTTCACACAGCTCCAATCAGGCTTCTAAGGATAGAGAAAACCATTTGACTTAGAGACTTCCGTCGTATTTGGAAACATTTGGTCGTTGGGTGCTCCTTACAAAGATAAACCAACAATGACATAAAAGTGAAGCACTGCGGCCGGTAATTAATAAGCGTTAAATTTTGACACTGACTTTAGTAAATGTGTTCAGACATTGTGTTGTGCTTATATCAGGTTATGAGTGTAAAGCGAACGCCCCCCACCCTCTACACCCTTCTTATTTAATAAAATTTCCCGTGTTAAAAAATAGCCTATAAAAAAATGTGATGTTTTTACTTATTAAGCCAAGACATTCAACGTCACTGGTTTCAGTAAACTTTGCGTGTCAGTTTAAAATAATTCGCATCCACAGCACACCGTCAATTCGAATGGATAGTCGTCAAAGGGTGGTTTTCCTGAAGAATCACACTTTTTCGTTGGATCATACTTCACCAGCGTCTGGGTTTTACCAAATCCTTTACATGTCCCCTGATTTTGAGGACCGCAAGGAACCGGACTAGGTGTGTCGTCGCAGACAATTGTATTGAAAATTTTAGGGTATATGTTCTCGCCTAGTGTAGTGATTGCCGAGCACCTCCTGCAAGAATATGGGGCTACTTTGTCATCTGGATCACAGCCTGTAATGTCGGTCATATGGCCTAAAGGACTCACTATCTGTTTTACTATCGATGAAAAATTCATAGGTTCCATAGTGATAAGATTTTTGAAGTTTAATTTTGCTTCTGCCAAAGTGAACGCCATGTAGTTTTTGTTGATAGTTACGCCATTTGCCTGTAACTTCGCCTTGGCGTCTTCGACCGTGACTGGAGTGCTACATGGCGATGAATTGTCGTCGTCCTGCTTTGTACCAGGCAAACGTGTTATGAACACAAAAAGTGAAAGAAGCACGAGCTGCAAATTCAAAGTATTTTTGTTAGAATTGTTCATGGTAGTTAATCTCACAATAGTCAGCTGCTATAGTTGCTTTTTTTATCTTGACGTCACGACAGCTCCCAGGGGAATACTTGGGTTAATTTTTCCTGGCATGTGCCGCTAGCCTCTCACACGTGTCAGAGACCCTATCCCATTTTAGTATCACCCACTAGTGGACTAATGCAAATCCTGCATTTTAATTGGCTACGTTACTAGGAGACTATTAGTAATACTCCTCGAGTAGCGAAATTGGCCGGTTTTGAAAACTGACCATAACAGTGGCGAACGCTTCGCGTTTTGTCGAGGTTGCAAATGAGTTTCTAGATCATAGTGATTGCGTGAATAGCACGCGCCCTGCAAAAGATTATGACATCACAACTCATGCAATCCCGACTTTTTTACTAGGCTGATTTAGCAACAGAATTTGACGTCATTTGACAATGGGGTAAAGCCAGTTGTTTGATTGGCGTGCGCCGTTGTCAAATGACGTTCCCGTTCCTAATTTTATCAGATAATAGCGCGCTCTAATTGACCGAGAGTTGTGTTTGGAAGCGAGTTTATGGCTGTGACGTCACGATCTTTGCGGTGCACGCGCTATTTTCGCGCCATGACTTTGCGCTTCACCTATGAGATTATCCTCGTCATTAATATGCAGATCGTCTTATCCCTCTTACATTCCTACTATTTAAGAAAGTTATGGGGAGGGGAGAGAGCGCTTATTCGATGGGGGCGCTTGTTTGATATTATGGCTGAGGTTGTGAGTCAGAGCTTTTTCGGGGATGGGCGCTTATTAGAGCGTGGGCCCTTATCGATGATATACGGTACACAGGTACTTGAATCACAGATATGACAGGTTAAATCAAAAAAGATAAAATGAACCCCCCCCCCCTTCCCCCAGGACAGACGTCCACCAAACGCGTTTGTTGAAAGGAAAAGTTAATAAGCGCCTCCCTTCAGATTATGCACCTCTTCTTTTAGCCGAAGTTTTAAATAAGCGCCCCGGCGCTTGTTCGAGGAAATAGGGTATTTACATAGCTTGCACAGTATAACGAACTTTTACAGAGCTGCCTCGTAACACCACCACTACTATGATTCTAAGTAATTAGCAGGACCAGGGTTTGTTTAATTAGGAAGCCCCAAAATTAACTTTCGCAATTTTTTTACATACAGAATAGCCATAGCCAGAGCCATAACCATAGATTCCAATGAATTTGATAACAATTTTACTTTTAAATTAAGTGAGATTTTCAAATCGTTGTTAAATTTAGATATCCTAAATTTTGATTCTATCTAAAAAACGACAATCTAAGGAAGTATCATGACTCTCGCTGAAGATAGAATACCCACCAAAACCACAGGTCACCCAAACTTAAAATATAACGAAAACAATGGGCTTCGATGTTCTACAGGTATTAGGATTTCTACTTAACCACGCGTTGTATTATAATATCTATCGGTCGTGCGATGTTTGGACTGCATATAAAAACAAAACAAAACAGAACAGAACAAAACAGAACGAAGAATAATCTCCCTTCTTTCGTTTTCCTTCGGATAAGGCTCTAAGATGAAGTTATTCCCCAAATCTTCATCGGCAGGTTATGCCATCGATGGCGGTCCTGATATACCATTTAATAAAATCACCCAGTCCGCGAGCACAACCAAAGTTGTCATAGGCGGACGGGAAATTTTTTGCCAGGGGGGGGGGGGGGGGGAAAAATTTTTGCCCAAAAAATTCCGTACAGCGGAAAAAAAAAGGGGGCCAAACGAAGCAAAAAAAAAGCCCATCAAAAATCGGAAAAGCACCCCGCTAAACCCCCGTCAAACCCCCAACTCCTTTGCCGCTTTCTCCTTGAAAAAAAAAAAAAAAAGACACACATCCACAAAAACCAC